CTTGATAAATTTGAAGGGGGTTTGGTCTGGTCCATAACAACTTCACATTTCTCCCGATTGAATTCCATTTGCCACTTTTCTGCACAACTGACCATCCATTCCTGCAGTTTACAGCTAATCTCCTCACTATCATCCCATTTTTGCATTGTTTGCTAACCTCTTGTTTAAGCCTAATTAATATAGAGTCATAGGGTCATAGAGATCTACAGCATGGAAACAGGCCCTTAATGCATAATTAAATTAGTCACATTTGCCTGCATCTGGTTCTTATCCCTCCATACCTATCCCATCTGTGTACCTGTCTAAATGCTTCCTAAATGCGAAACTGTACTCATCTTCACCATTACCTCTGGCAGCCCGTTCCAGACACTCATCACTGTGTGAAAAACTGTCCCTCTGGACCCTTTTGTATTTCTCCCCTCTCACCTTAAAGCTATGCCCTCTAGTTTTAGACTCCCCTACCATAGGGAAAAGCTGTTGGCTATCCACCTTATCTATGCCTTTCATGATTTAGGTCACCCTTCAGTCTCGTACAGTCCAGGGAAAACATTTCCAGTCTATCTAACCTCTCCTTATAACTCAAACCTTCCAGTCCCGGTAGCATCTTAGTAAGACTTTTCTGCACTCTTTCTAGTTTAATAATAATATAAACCCACAAAAGACAAGGGACACAGTCCTATGCCCTGCAGAACCCCACTGAAAATACTATACTCAGACCTTGTCTGCCCAAAGACCCCATGACTCAATTTTGAAGAAGAACAAACTATCTGAATCAATATTTATCTCTCAATGAAGATCACAAAATCAGATTATCTGCTGTGTTCAAACTGGCTGCTGTACTAAAGTAACTACATATTGGAAGCACTTTATTACTGCTGTCAGATACTTTGCAATGCCTTATTGTCATGGAAGACATGAAAAGAATGCAAATTTATTTCTCTGGCAATCATTTTAGATTTTCCGAAGAAAAACATCATTACATTGTAAATGACTATGCATGTAGAAGCAAGTAATTAAGCAGTTTGATTTATGTGTTTTCTAACCTTGCTTCTAAAAATAGAAATAGTAGGAACTGCAGATGCTGGAGAATCTGAGATAACAAGGTGTAGAGCTGGATGAACACAGCAGACCAAGCAGCATCGTAGGAGCAGGAAGGCTGACGTTTCGGGCCTAGGGTCTAGGCCCGAAACGTCAGTCTTCCTGCTCGGCCTGCTGTGTTCATCCAGCTCTACACCTT